AGCAGGAAGCTGACACGTAGAGTGCATTAAGGTCATCACTAAGGAGGTGGGTGGGTCGTGGAGACTCTGTGGTGGGAGGGCGGCACAGCAGGAAACGGGTTTGGCCCTACATTTCCCTGGGATCTGGATCCCGACAGGGCTGAGTCAGGGCCTGAGCCCTACGCTCATAGATGGGGATGGCTCAGCCCCTACCCACTTTGGGTCTCTGGCAATGGGCTGAGGCAGGGCCTGTGGCTGGAAAGGAAGTGGCTTGTCCAAGGTCTCACAAGGCCCGGGACTCCTGGCTCTTCTAACTGGCTCATTCAACAGACATTATCTAGCACTGAGTGTGTGCCAGGCACTGTGCCAGTGTTAGAAATGGCCTAAGAACATGACTGGCCTGACTGCCTGCATGGAGCTTAGAAGCTGGTGGACAGATGGACCATAAACAAGAAAACCAGTTAATACACTGCATGATTTCAGAGTGTGACAAGTACTATGAAAAAAATAAATCAGGTTGGGACAAGAGGGATGGTGGTGCAGTGTTGGATAGAAAAGTTGGCAAGGGCCTTTCTGAGGAGGTGATATTTGAGCTGAATGACAAGAAAGAGCTGGCCATCTGAATAGAGAAGTCCAGGTAGAGAATATAGCAAGTGCAAAAGTCCTGAGGTAGGAACGAGCTCAGTGCAACTGGAGATTGGAACGGTGGCCAGGGTGGGTGGACGGTGATTAAGAAGGAAGCAGGAGGCCTCCTTATTCTATGAAGAGTAAGGAGAGGACTTTTGCCAAAACTTTTGCTAAAAATTGAAGAGCTTCATCTGAGGCTGTGGGACTTCCCAGTGTTAGTTCCACTGTGGATGTATGATCCTCATCTACTCTGGGAGCTCAGGACATTTGGGCATGTCTGGGCTTGTCAAGACAGGAACTTGACCATGTCTCCATGCGGCCTTAGCAAGGAAGGATTTGCCTCTCTGGGGAAGGAATCGTCACCAGCCATTGTGGATGATCAATGAATCCATAGGGAACATCTCATCATTTTCCCCTTGTGGTTGGGGCCACGGAGAGAGACTGAACTGAGGTGTGCCCAGGCTGGAGTGGGGGATACAAGGAAGGCTTGTACTCAGTGGAGGCCCCGGGGGCAGGGCTGCTTCAATAGAACCCCCAACAGGATGGGGAGAGGCATGGAGGCCTAGATCACCGGCTTGGAGGAATTTGGCTTTGCATATGGAGTGCTAGCCCTAGAAAGCTGCTGATCTGGGTGCAGATACCCAACACAGATACCCTGCTGTTGTGCCCACACCAGAACCACTTAGAAAAAGGAAAATGGAGTTTGAAATGGGACCAGAGCCGGAGCCCAGGCTGGTTCCCAGGCCAGGGCGCTGCAGAAGGGGATGCGTGTGGTAAGATGAGCTTTCTTTCAATGCTCATGAAGCATTTTGTAAAAAAGAAAAACAGTTTAGATGGGAAGTATGCTCTCCACTTCACCCCAGGCCCACCTCTCCCAATTGCCTCCTATTTGCCCCTTCAATCCTATCTGGCCCCGGAAAGCACTTGACTTTGAATCCCCGAGGGACCCCAGGTGAGCCTTCGAATGGGACACATTTCAGCACCTGCAGGGGCCCTACACTGAGTTGGCTTCGAATTGGAGGACACTTTGAGAAGGGGGGTGTTATAGTGTGACTTCTTTTGTACCATGATTCTTCCTCATCTTGTGTGAAACTCATGGGATTTAAGCTCAGTAATTCGAGATGGAGTCACAGTGGCCAATGTGAACTTCCATATTAGTTGTTGTGAACTGTCCAGTACAGGAGTGCAAGTGTCTGAGTGTCATAAATTAATTGTGTCGCTTTAGGGACTTCCCTGGCAGTCCGGTGGTTAAGACTCTGCACTTCCACTGCAGGGGGCACGGCTTCCATCCCTGGTTGGGAACTAAGATCCCACATGCCGCCTGGCGTAGCCAAAAAAAAAAAAAAGAAAATTAACAGTGTTCCTTTATTTATTTGGCTGCGCTGGGTCTTAGTTTTGGCACGTGGGATCTTTGTTGCTGCATGCAGTGGCATGCAGGATCTAGTTCCCTGACCAGGGATCGAACCCGGGGTCCCTGCATTGGGAGCGTGGAGTATTAACCACTGGACCACCAGGGAAGTCCCAGTAGTTTTGCTTTAGATAAGGAATTTGTTTGGTTCCTCAGGAAGACTCTACTGGCACAGAGACTGATAGAGACAAGATTCTTTGGGGCATAACTGTAACACCCTACAGGCAGATCCTTTAAAATGAGACCACAAGACTGAGCAACTTGAAGGCTCTTTGCTGGAGGACTCCACGCTGCTGAGAGCTGTTCCAGACGGATGCTCTGTTGGAGCAGAAGGCGACTTCCCACTCACATTTGTCATGAGATTCTGGTTCAGCTGGACCAAAGCCCGCCGCTTGCTCGTGCTGAGACGTGACCTTCCCAGTCTTCTCCTTGGAGTTGTTTGTTACCCCCTTTTCTATTTTTCCCACTAACCTGTGTTGTGTGCAATAAACCAAGTGGCTCATGAATTGAATACTGGTTATGGTTTTTGGTTTTTTTTAATGTTTATTTATTTATTTGTTGTATCAGGTCTTAGTTGCGGTGCGCGGGCTCTAGAGTACCCAGGCTCATTAGTTGCGGCACGGGCTTAGTTGTCCTGCAGCATGTGGGATCTCAGTTCCCTGACCAGGGATCGAACCGGTATCCCCTGCATTGCAAGACCGATTCTTAACCACTGGACCACCAGGGAAGTCCCATGGCTACATTTTGTATATCCCCAGTACTGTGATTCTAACCTGGTCTTACCGCTGGATCTTGCAGCAAAACGGGGGTGTTTGGGAGATGAAAGTAGGTGGTCACAGCCCTGGCTCTGCAGTGACTGCCCAGGGTTTGAATCTTGGCTCTGCCACAAGATGGCTCTGCACCATCTCACTGGGAGATGCTATCATCAGGTAGGTGCTATCACCCCCACTCCACAGAGGAGAAAAACTGAGGCTCAGGTGACCTCACCCGAGGTAGTCCAGGTAAGGTTGCCAGAGAAAATACAGGACGCCCAATGACACTGGAATTCCAGATTTCTAATATAATTATTGGTTGTTGCTGAAATTCCAATATAAGTGGGCATCCTGTATTTTACTTGCTAAATCTGGCAACACTACCAAGCTTGAAACCCGGGGCTGCCTGAGCCTAAAACCCCATTTAATTACCGTCCCGCACCACCCCCCTCCCCGCCCCCCGCCGCCCGACTTCATAAATGGAGAAACTCCAGTCCGGACGACAAGGGAGCCACGGCACATTGGCTCCGACACCTTCTAGCCCTTTCCTAGGCGGACCGCCCAACCCACCTCCCGCAGGAGTTTGGGAGACGTGCCGGAGGGCAGAAGAGGGGAGACGCTGGAGCTCAGACTCTGCCCCCAGCTGCCGAGGCCCGGCCCCCAGTCCCGGAGGCCTCTCCGCCACTGCCAGCCGCGTACTTCCCGCTCACGCCGCGCAAGCCGCGCTCGTAAGCCCCGCCACCGCCGTTCAGCCCCGCCCCCAGCGCCCCTGTCTCCTCCCCGTCCCGGCAAACCCCGCCCCTGCCGCCGGCAGCGACTGCCCTTTCAGTTTCTAGTCTCCAGAAGCTGCGGCGACGGCATCGCCTCCGCCCAGGTTCTCCGGCTTCCTGCCCGGCTCGTCCGGTCCGCGGGTCATGGAGTTCGGAGGTGCGGATCGGGAGCAGCCAGCGCGTCCCAACCTGCCCTCCAGGTTAGCGCCCGGCCGGGTGAGGGGGTGGTGGAATCTGGGAGTGGGGTGGAAATCCCTCGTGCTGTCCCGCTCCAGGCCTCTCCATTAGTGAGGTAGGAGAGATGGGATGGGAGTCGAGGCTCCAGGCTCCTGATTCTGTCCGACCCAGAGTCGAGGGATGACCTTGAGCCGAGGGCTCCTCTCGTCTGCCTCTCCTTCCCCATCTGTGCAATGGGGACTGGGTTGGCCGGAGGTTTCCCAAGGATCACTGATTCCAGCTCCTTTAGGATGGGGACAGTGCCTCCCCGTGTTTGGAGACTGTAAGGCGTTTGATTCCCAGAAATCATCTGCCCTGACCCCGGCCTGTACCCTCCCCTGCCTCAGTTTCCCTGGGCAGTTTCCTCAGAGGCCTGGGACCCAGCTCTGAGTGTCTGGGTTTTGGCAGGTCCCCGGCTCCCATCCCTTCCCAGCCTGATCCCTGGAGGCAGCAGCCACCCGGCTGCTGAGCGGCAGTGACAGCATGAAGGCTCCGGTAAGTGGCGGAAGGAGGAAGACTCACAGGGGACTTGGAGGTGGCTTCTGGCACAGCAGCCTCAGTAGCCTCTCCCACCCCAGGGCTGACTGTCACTTCCGACTTCACTGCTCCTGAGCTGAGGAGAAGGCCAGACTGGCCTCAAAGGCCAGCCCTGATCTGGCAGGCTGTGTGGCCCCAGGCAAGTGGCATTCCATCTCTGGTTTCAGGGCCTTGCCCCTCTTCCTTGTAGAATGGAGATAATAGTGCTACCTCCTGTGAGCATCCAAGGTCACCCAGGTGAGGCATCTGTCTACCTGGGAGTGCGATATGTTGTGAAAGTTCAGTTTAGCTGCTCTTGATTTTATTCAGGAGCCCCTGGTGAGAGCCTTGGATATTGTGGGAAGTCAGCCACGGCTGCCTGAATCAAGGCCTCTGGGTCCCTTGTGGGCAGGGGACCAGGTGCCAGGCACAGCCTAAGGCCTCAGGGGCTGAACCCCCTCCTCCACACAGCTGGCCACACAGAGATTTATTTTTAGAAGCTGAAGTGGCTGTGGGCAGAATAGCGAGGGCCTCTGGCAGGATATGCCTGGGGGAGCTGGGGGGCTGCTTTTTCACCTCTGGTTTTCACAGAGCCCCAGCCAGCCACTCAGTGGTTTCTGAGGGCTGGCAGAGGGACCTGGGCCTTGGGTAGGCTGGGAGAAAGTTAACACCCAGAGAGACACAGGTGGTGACCAAGGTGGCCCAGCACACAATGGCAGGCCCAGGTTGTGTCCCCCACTAGGCGACCCCACCCGGAAGGCTTGATGGGGGGTACTCATTAAGTCTGCCCACCGGGCAGTGGGCCAGGAGGGCTTCCTGGTTCAGATGGCCTTTGGCACGTGGTTTCTGGAGGCAGGAGCCTCTGGGCTGCAGCTTTCAGTTTTTGAAACCATTCATTGAATGATGCTGCCCTCACATCCCTCTCTACCATCCGTTTACTCACCTGGTCTGCTGACCCAAATCGCGATCATCAGCTGGGCGGATGGCCACTGAGTCAGCTGGGGGAGGGGATGGGCTATGGGCATGCAGGCAGCCTCATCCCAGGGTCTGAAGGGGGCTGGTTGCCCTTCTGATGGGCCACTCTCCTGTCCTCATGTGCACAGCACTTCATGGTAGTGCTTTGGCCACTGTCCTCACAGTAAGTTCACGCTGCGGGCATTATCTATTTCAAAGAGGAAGCAGGCCCAGAGAGGTGGAGAGTTATACCCAAGGCTGCACAGTACACTTCAGCTTCTGGTTAAGAGCATCGTTTCTAGTTTTGAGGCCCCACCCTGTTACTTTCGTACTGTGTGGACTTGAGCTACCCATTTCACCCCAAGTTGGTTCCCTTATCTAGAATATAGGAATAATAATAGGGCTTATCTCAGGGTCATGTGCTCTGAGTCTGGCAGCCCAGAGGAAGTCCTGGTTAACAGAGATGGTGGCCTCTGCTGATGTTCTGGGAACTACTGAGCTGGGGTTTGGACCCATGAGGCTGGGGTACAGCACCCCTGCAGAAGCTTCTAGGAGTCCCAGCGACCCCCACTCCCACCCCATGACAGCTGTCTCCCCCAGGGTCGGCTCCTACTCATCATCCTGTGCTCCTTGGGCTTTTCCGCTGCCTACATCCTGCTGTGCTGCTGGGCCTGCCTGCCCTTCTGCCTGGCCTCCTGCCTGGACTCCCACCTCTCTATCAACTCCAGGCCCACTGTGCCAGGGCCCCAGCACTTCAGTGGCTACAGCAGCGTGCCAGATGGCAAGGTGAGTTGGCTGGGCAACATGTGGGGGGCAGGCCCGGCCAAGGCTACCAGGGTGCCCCCAACTCTCTGGGGTTGTGAGAAATGGGCTCATGTCAGGCCAGCCTGGACCCTGGGCTTGGCTCCTGTCCACAAGCTGACCTGTCACTTTACCTCTCTGAGCCTCAAGCTCTAAGAGGAAATGTCTTTTTTTTTTTTTTTGGCCGCACCGCGCAGCTTGCAGAATCTTAGTTCCCCGACCAGGGATTGAACGCGGGCCGTGGCAGTGAACGTGCCGAGTTCTAACCATTGGACCGTCAGGGAATTCCCAAATGTCTTTTTTTTTTTTTTTAATTCAACAAATAATTGCCTGGCTGCTCTCAGCTGGGTGCTGGGGATAAAAAAAGGTGAATCAGACAGGGTGGCCACCTGGAACTCCCAGTGCAGCGAGGGGAACCAGACATCATCACATCACGGTGATGCGTGCACCTTTTAGATTTACCTGTCTACGCACAATCCGTTTGTTCAGCAAGTGTGTATTTGGTGCCTTGGATGTGTCCTGCCTTGTGCTGATTGCTGCTGGGGATACAGATGACACAGATAAAAGTCATATCAGCCCCAGAGCTCTCCCTCTGGGGGAGACAGGGACAGTGGGGCCCGGGGGTGACAAGGCAGCTGAGGCCCCTTGCCCCACGGCACACACCTCCCCATGCTTGCTCTGCTGGGCGAGGTTTGGAGCACTTTACCCCCTTCACCCTGATTTCAGCGGCCCCATCTGGTATGTTTCTCAAACGCATCCCCCAACGACACCCGGTGCAGGAAGCTCCCAGTTTGGAGTTTGACAGCTCTCTGAGCGTTGGTCAGAGGGAGGCATGCTCAGGGACCCTGGCTTGGAGGAGACCTATTTCAGACCTTCATCCCTCTGAGTCACAGTTGCCTTATCTGTGAAAGGCTGTCATTACAGTTCCTACCTCGGCAGGGATGCTGTGCAGGTCCAACTGGATGATTCATGGACAGTGTTTAGAACGGGTGCTGTGTAAATCTTTGATCAAGATGCAAAAACAGGGCTTCCCTGGTGGCGCAGTGGTTGAGAGTCAGCCTGCCGATGCAGGGGACGTGAGTTCGTGCCCCAGTCCAGAAAGATCCCACATGCCATGGAGTGGCTGGGCCCGTGAACCATGGCCGCTGAGCCTGCGCGTCCGGAGCCTGTGCTCCGCAACAGGAGAGGCCACAACAGTGAGAGGCCCGCATAACGCAAAAAAAAAAAAAAAAAAAAAAAGATGCGAAAACAGCTGGGGTCGGGGGGGACAAATTAAAGTGCCATACAGGTTTGGCCAGGTGGGACAAATGGCAAGGTGGGCTGGGTGGATGCTGTCCCAGCTCCATGGTTATGGCCAATGTTCATTTCAGATGCTCAGAGCTCGTGGTGACATGGGCCCAGGGTGGCCAGATCCTCTGAATTTATTTGTTGTTGTTGTTTGTTTGTTTTTTATTTATTTTTGGCTGTGTTGGGTCTTTGTTGCTGCGCGCGGGCTTTCTCTAGTTGTGACAAGTGGGGTCTACTCTTCGTTGCGGTGTGCGGGCTTCTCACTGCAGTGGCTTCTCTTGTTGCGGAGCACGGGCTCTAGGCGGATGGGCTTCAGTAGTTGCAGCACGTGGGCTCCGTAGTTGTGGCTTGCGGGCCCTAGAGTGCAGGCTCAGTAGTTGTGGCACACGGGCTTAGTTGCTCTGTGGCTCATGGGATCTTCCCGGACCAGGGATTGAACCTGTGTCTCCTGCAGTGGCAGGTGGATTCATAGCCACTGCACTGCCAGGCAAGTCCCCCAAGTTTGTTAACAGAGCACGAAATCTAAGTTTGGAATGTCAAAAGGGCTGATTTTTATAAATTAAGTATTAATTGTGTTAAAGACCCTGTGTAGGACAAGCAGATCACCTCCTGGGGCTGATGGTGACCTTGGATCTGACCAGACCCCAGTTGTCAGGTCAGGCTCAAACTGAGGGCAGAATAAGGAAGTCTTGTTTATTGCTGGGGCATGGAAACTGGGGCTACCAGTTCTTAAATCAACATTATGTCAGACATAAAATGTCCCTGAGTGGGCTACAACACTGTGTCTTTTATTGACTAGAATTAATGTTCCCATATCCTTTACATGCCTCCATAAACCTGTGTTCCCCCAGGAGGGAATGGAGGCCTGGGGTAGGCAGCAAGTCCTTTTCTGGGAGCCCTGACCCCTGACACCCAGTGAATGTTTGCAGGCTTGTTGGCTCAGCTTCCGCCTCTTGGAGGATAATGAGGTGAGGGTTGGACCCTTACTGTGCCCTTGGTCTGTGCTGATCACTCTCCAGGCATTTTCAATTGAATCCTTCCTTACAACCTGGTCAAGTAGATGCTATTTTCATCCCCATTTTACAGATGAGGGAATTGAGGCTCAGAGAGGCAAAGTGACTTGCCTAAGCCCACACAGCTAGGATGGAGCAGAGCCAGGACTGAGGCTCAGAACCAGAGGTTCCCAATGTTGTCGTGGGCAATAAAGACTGCTTTTACTTATAAACTGCAACAATGAGAATGGGACTGGGGCAGAGGAGGGAGTGACCTAAGAGTGATTCCGAAGAGCCGAGGTTCATATTTACCTAACAAACACATACGTGACACCCAGTCTGTGCCAGGCACTGCTCTGAGTGCTTTATAAATATTTGCTTATGTAACCTTAATGAGGAAATGCAATGTAGGGCCTCTTAGGGCCTCAGCAATAGAGACCAGGGTCAGGAATGTGGCTGATGAGGAAGCACGAAGATTCCCTGAACACAGAATCATAGCTCTGCCACTTGTCATCGGTCTGACCTTGAGAAGGTCACTCCAGCTGCCCAGCCTTGGTTTCCTCATCTGCAAAATGGGTTGATAAAGGGACTTACATCCCTTTACTGATACATCTTACTGATACAGATGTCAAGTGTGGTCAGGGGGTGTTCCTGGGTGGAGGAGCAGGCAGGTGGAAGCTGTGTGCCCAGGACTTTCTTTTTTTTTTTTTTAAAGAATTGTTTTAGTTTTCATTCTTTTTTTATATAAATTTATTTTATTTTATTTATTTTTGGCTGTGTTGGGTCTTCGTTGCTTCGAGCAGGCTTTCTCTAGTTGCAGTGAGCGGGGGCTGCTCTTTGTTGCAGTGCACGGGCTTCTCATTGCAGTAGCTTCTCTTGTTGCGGAGCATGGGCTCTCGGCGCGTGGGCTTCGGTAGTTGTGGCTCACGGGCTCTAGAGTGCAGGCTCAGCAGTTGTGGCACACGGGCTTAGTTGCTCCGCGGCATGTGGGATCTTCCCGGACCAGGGCTCGAACCCATGTCCCCTGCATTGGCAGGCAGATTCTTCACCACTGAGCCACCAAGGAAGCCCCCCAGGACTTTCTTTCTCTCTACCTCCCCCTGCAGCCGCTGGTCCGAGAGCCGTGCCGCAGCTGTGCCGTGGTATCCAGCTCGGGCCAGATGCTGGGCTCGGGCCTGGGTGCCAAGATCGACGGTGCTGAGTGTGTGCTGCGCATGAACCAGGCGCCCACCGTGGGCTTCGAGGCGGACGTGGGCCGGCGCAGCACCCTGCGGGTCATCTCCCACACGAGCGTGCCACTGCTGCTGCGGAACTACTCGCATTACTTCCAGCAGGCCCGCGACACCGTCTACGTGGTGTGGGGCCAGGGGAGACACATGGACCGGGCGCTGGGTGGCCGCACCTACCGCGTGCTGCTGCAGCTCACCAGGATGTACCCGGGCCTTCAGGTATACACCTTCACCGAGCGCATGATGTCCTACTGCGACCAGGTCTTCCAGGACGAGACGGGCAAGAACCGGTGAGCCAGGGGCCTGCCTGCTGGGGTCTCCCTGGCGGCTGGGGGCCTGCCTTCTCCAGCAGCCTCTGGTCCATCGAGGGTCTGCTCTGTCAGGCGCTGGGGCTCAGCAGTGGTACAGGCGGACGTGGTGCTGCCCTCTGATGGGGGCTGGGAATCAGAGGGCTGTCATTCATCGAGTTATCTTAGAGATGAAGAATTCCAAATGGTGGTGAGGGGCGTTCGGCCTCACCAGCACGCGTTGTGGGGTGACTGGTGTGGGCCCGCATCAGGGAGCTCTTCTCTCTGGAGGGGATGCTCTGAGACCTGAACTGGTCTCTGACGTCCCTTCCTGATAAGGAAAGCAACAGTGACAGTTCTAGCAGCACTTTTCATGCACCAGGTGCTGCCCTCAAGATCTCATTCTATCACACGCCTAAAAGAGCACCCCAACTCCTGTGGCCCCCTCCTCCACGCACAGGCTCCTTCCTGCCACCTCCCCAGCTCAGAAAATACGGCCGCCAGCCTCCAGTTTTTCAGACAAACACTTGGGCTTTGCCCTTGACTCCCCTTGTTTCATCAACCGCCACGTACGATGGGCTCTCGAATCTCCTCCCGTGCCCACGGGTGCCACCTTGACCTGAGCCACCATCCCCTCCTGCTCTCTCAGCACCCCCTGCAGTCTGAGCTCCAACTGCCCCAGGGAATTCATCCCATCAGTCACCTGCCCTCACCCTACAGCCGCTTCGCATCACGGGGAGAGTAGAGTCCAGACTCCCACCTCCTCCCTCCCCTGGCCTACAAGCCCCGCGTGATCTGGCCCCTGCCTGCTTCTGTGACCTCATCCTCCATCGCTTACCCTGTTCCAGCCACCCTGGCCGTCTGGGCCTCCTCAGACATCCACGCTGCTCTCACCTGCAGTCCCGTGCACATGCCGTTCCTTCCCCCAGGTCTTCCCATAAATGACCGTTTGCTTCCAGATGTGGATGGAGTGTCATGTTGACCCCAAATGAAGGAGCATCTGCCACCTGACATCCTTCATCTCATTCTTTGGTTTCTTCATCTTCCCAGCAGTTCTCTCCCAGCTGCCCGCTCCCTTGAGAATGTTAGCAATGGGCGGGGCCGGTTCAGGCCAGCACAGGGCTTGGGAGGTGTTCAGTTTAAATGACTGAATCACCCCACAACCCCTCGGTAGAGGTGGAGGTGAGTGGCCCTCGGCTGGGAGAGTAACCAGTGCTGGTGCTTTGAGAGAGTCGAGACCTGGGGTGGCCACACAGTTCCTTGCTCTGAGTTGGGTGTTGGGCCTGGGGGAGGAGCTAGGCTGAAAGTGTTCCCTCTCCATAACCACCCATAATTATCCCCATTTCACGGATGGGTCACTGAGGCTCAGAGAAGTTCACGAGCAAACCTGATGACGCAGAGCAGATTCATATGGAAGACCCATTGACTCCAGATGACCCTCTTCCCCACTTTCAACGACGGTGCTCTGCTGCCTCCTGCTGTCTCCCCAAGCTTGGTCCCTTAGCTGTGAACTGGATGTGATCAGGGCTGCCGCACCACCAATGGGAGAGGGGTGGTTTGCTCAAGTCCTCGGTGGGTGGGAAGAGTTGAACGGACCCGGCTTTGCACCCCACCCCCACCTGTTGCCCATTGCTGGCCTTGGGCTGGGGCAGCCCCATCCTCAGGCACCCCCAGAGCCCCACTGTGGGCGTCAAGGTGAGAGGCCCTCGGCTGGGAGGGGAACCAGTGCTGTGCCCTGAGAGAGCTGAGGCTGGGGCCACCTTGCTCCCAGTTGAGTTGGGGGTCACGGCTGGCTGACGGCTTCCCTCCCTCTGCCAGGAGGCAGTCGGGCTCCTTTCTCAGCACCGGCTGGTTCACCATGATTCTTGCCCTGGAGCTGTGTGAGGAGATCGTGGTCTATGGAATGGTCAGCGACAGCTACTGCAGGTCAGGCCAGCCAGGCGCCGGGCGGGAGGGCACCATGCGTGGGCCCTGTCCATGCTGGAGGGTGCGTGGGCTTCCCGATGGGTGGCCGAGGCACAGGGTGGGAAGGAGCCCGGCCTCTGCAACAGGTTGGATACCAGCCTCCGCTCTGCCCATGTGGCCTTTGGGCCTGGCCGCCACCTCCCAGAGCCTCTATTTTCTCATGTCCAAGAGAGAAAATAATCACACTTTCCTCAGAAGGTTATGGAAAGGTTTAGAGAGAGAATAATCTATCAAAGTGCCAACCACAACATCAGGGCTGATGGTGTCAGTGGTCTATTACACCTAAGTTCTGACTTGTGATATTATATAGCTCAACGTTATCATAACTAACATAACTAACTGAACTGAAAGGGTCCCACATCTTCACCCTCTGTTCTTCTTGGAACTTTGCTGAGCACGTGGGTGAGATGGTAGTAGCCCGTGTGCCCTCTGCCATGGCACCTGGCCAGACAGCCAGTGAGTAGCTGGGTGTGCAGGGCTGGCAGCTCCATGCTGCGGGGAATGAGGGCTCCCTCACCAAGAGCCCAGCACCAGGCGCTTTGCATATTTTGACCTGTGGTTTCAGCCAAGAAGGTAGATAATCACCATCCCCATTTTACAGATGGGTCATTGAAGCTCACGCCATACGTCTTTGGCCTGGAGTCAGCCAGCTTGCAAGAGGCAGAGCCAGGGCTTGAGCCTTGGCCTTTGGGATCCTCGGGGGCTGCCCTTTTCCTCCTTTGTTCTGGCCTCCCCTGGGACCAAGCATGGGGCTCTGTGGCCTGTAGTACCTGGTGAGGGGGGGCCTGGTAGGTGGCAGGGTCTGGCGGAGGCAGGCGAGTTCTGGTGCCTCACGCTCGTCCCTGTTCCCCACCCACAGGGAGAAGGGCCGCCCCTCGGTGCCTTACCACTACTTTGAGAAGGGCCGGCTGGACGAGTGTCAGATGTACCTGGCACACGAGCAGGCGCCCCGCAGTGCTCACCGCTTCATCACTGAGAAGGCTGTGTTCTCCCGCTGGGCCAAGAAGAGGCCCATCGTGTTCGCCCACCCGTCCTGGAGGACCCAGTAGCCCCATCGCCCAGCCAGCCACGACGCCTTCACCAGGCCTCTGTTCCGACCACACTCCACCAAAAACATTTAATTTATGGATCCTGCCTCCTATCATGTGCCGAGCGGACCAAAGTTCCCTTCCTGCCCTACCCTGGGGACACTTGGAGCCATCTCAGGCCTCTGGACTTACAGGGGGAAGAGGAGGGCCATGGTGACCTTTGCACCCTCCTCCCTACCCCTGCTCCCTGAGTAACCTGAGTCGGATTCGTCCCACCTCTGAGTCTGTCCGGTGGCCTTTGCTCCCGGGGTTGGCAACCCCCCTATTCACCAGCACCATGAATTTCAACCGAGCACCAGCCCTGGCCCTTCCTCTCTGCACTCCCTTTCCACCTGCCTTTGGTGCCACACTTCCCAGGCTTGTCGCCCTGGTCAGGGCAACCCAGAACTTGGGGTTTGTTGGGCGAAGGGGCCTTTGAACTGTGACTGCCAGGGCCACCTCTGGAGTATATGGGTAAACATGTTTTCTGGAAGCCTGTCCTGGCTGTTGTCACGTGTCTGGGGGTGGGGATTGGGGCTCCTCTCTCCACCACAGTGCCATGACCTGTTGTCTTGAGGGCAGACCTACAGCCGGCTGGGCTTCTGTCCATTTAATCTGCCTGCATGTTTCCTCCCCAGGAACCTACCCACTTCCCCACCAGGTCAGGGAGTCTGACCCCATGACTGCACTTGACCCAGGGAACACCCCAGCTCAGAGGCTTCCATGGGATCCCCACCCTGTACCCAGTGGGAGGAGCGTCAGGGTGGGAGGAAATTCTTCCATATCATGTTGCCTTCCTGGTCCAGGGTCAAATTCCACTGGCCTTGCCAGTTAAATTCCCAGTTAACTCTGGGGTTGGTTACACTGCTAGAAAGGAAGGAGGGCAGGCTCAGGACTTTCCTTCTCTGAGTATCAGTTTGCTCACCTGTAAAGTGGAAAAGCACATCCACCAGTGAACAGGTAGCAAGGGTGTACAGCCACGCTGGGGTGGGTTAGAGTTATAGCCCATTTTACAGGTGAGATGAAGCTGCTTGGCTGAGCCAGGGTGCAATCCAAGGTCTGAGAGCTGCGCCTGAGCGTCTGGGCCCTGCACCAGGGGGCTGGAAAAAGCCCAAGGAGGCTTCACCCCCCTCCTCCCTTCTTCCCTCCTAACTTCCTCCCTCCCTCCCTCCCTCTTCTGGAGACCAGGAGACTAATGGAGGGCCAGGACCCCAGGCTGTCAGCTGGGACGGAGCCCTAGGGTTCTAGCTTCCAGCTCCGGGGCTTGGCCACTTTGTTGGCTGGTGACCTGTGCAGAAACTGCCCCGGGGCACCACGCTTAGCTCAATGTTCTGCTGTTGCCACTTGAAATTTTTTTTTTTTTTTTTTAACAAGGGACTGCGCCTTTTCCTTTTGCACTAGACCTCACAAATCATGTAGCCATCTGTGCCAGGGAGTCTGGGTGACCCAGGAGAGTCCCTCTCCCACGCCCAGCCTTCTCAGGAGAGACTGGAGACCTGGCACCTGGCCCACCTGCCTTTTGTGCCCTGCCTCCCCCAGCTGGGTGCTAGGTGTGCCCAGAAGCCTCTGTAGGCATGGGAGAAGAGCCCTGGGCTGGGGGGCAGGGAGCACGCCCGTGGGAGGGCGCAGGCTGGCAGCTGAGCCACAGCTGCTGGCCTGGCAGCCGGCAAGTGTTTGTGAGTAGGAGTTGGGCAGAGGTAAGGGGGGAATGTAACCTGGCAGGCAGAGGGGTTGGTGGGGGAACTTCTGGGCCCAGAGGGAGGGCTCTGGAGTCAGACCTGGCCTCGTTCTGGCTCTGCTTCCTGCCGCGGGACCCTGGCAGGTTAGTGCCTCCCTCATGTGTAAAAGGTACTAAAGTAGTCCCTACCTCACGGGATGGTACAAACTGGGAGAGATGGCATCCGTAAAGTGCCTGTCCCCAGGGCTGGCACTTGATATGTGGGAGCCATCATCATCAATGGGGCCACCCTTGCTCAGCCAGCCCGGCCCTCCTCGGTGGTGGTGGTTGGGCAGGAAGACTTCCCACTCCCATCAGCTGTGTCTGCTCACCACGTCATCCTCCATCTGCAAGGCCCAGGGTCTGCTGGGTGTGCTAGGACTCCAACTCCACCCCCTCCCAGCAGGTTGCCTCCTCCTCCTGTTCCATTGCCTGGGAGATGCTGGCCCAGCCCTTGGGGCCCAGTGTGCAGAGGCACCTCTGTCTTGGCCCTGCCCTTGGGTGGGTGGGATGGTTATTGTTGTGTTGGCCCAGATACTGTCTTGTTGGGGTGGTGACCCCGCAGGGACGATCCACCAGCAACTTCCTCCAGGCAGATGAAGATGACCGGTGACTGGATCCGGGCCTGCTGACAGCTCTCTGGACCCCCATCTCTGCCACTGCAGTTCCTGCAGCTTCCGGGAGGTGAGGTGGGGGACAGGAGCCTCCTCCCAGACCTGAGGAGTGTGTCGGGGGGTGGGGCACCTTGGCGTGCAGCCCCTTGTTGGGCCTCTGTTTTTCTGTCACTCCCAGGCTCCTTTGTCTCCTCAGCAGGCCTGCTGGGGATGCCCCCTACTTCCTCCTGAGGGCCGAGGGGGAGCTGGGTGAGTCTCATAGCCTGGAGGTATCTTAAGGAGCCTCTCCTCAGAAGGAACTTTGGGCCAGGTCAGGAACTCACATTCAAACCTTATCTAGCCAGGAGAGGACAGGAACCTTGGTTCTCCTAGGTACTGGTGGGCACCCATGTCCAGCGTCACCTGGGCCAGCCTGACCACTCCAGCCTCTGTCTGAGAAGAACCAGGTACTTCCTGGTTCCAGACCCACTGCCCAGAGGCCTCGGAGGGCTTTTTCCAGTATCCCATGGAAGGGAAGAATCCTAACAGTGCAAAGATTGCTAAGGGGTGAGAAGGAGAGAGTCACACCCTGGACCCCCATCCTGGGGCAGGAAGGGCTGAAGCATAGGCCACCTCCATCAGACCATGGAGGAGCGACTCCGGGGCGGGGGACCGGCTGCCCAGCTGCAGGCAGGGTCGGGGAGCAGCGCCAGGATTGGCCACAACCTGCCGTCCATGAAGGCCCTGGTGTGCCTGTGAGGCAGGCCTGGGGCTTCCAGCGGGCAGAAAGGCTTGTGGTTATTCAGCAGACAGGTCTGCTGGAATCCCAGCTCGGGCACCTCTGTACTCTCTGTGCCTCACTTTCTCCCTCTGGAAAGCGGGAGTAACAGCAGTGCCCATAGGTTATTTTAAGGATTCAGCGAGGTATGTTTGCAAAGTGCTTATTAGCACAGGAGAAAGCATCCAGCACACATGGAGCTGTGTGGGTTTTCGTATCCTTGTTGTTGCTGTTGTTATTATTATTTTGGCCATGCCGCGAGGCATGGAGGATCTTAGTTCCCCGACCAGGGATCAAACTTGTGCCCCCTGCGGTGGAAGTGCAGAGTCTTAACCACTGGACCGCCAGGGAAGTCCCCTTGTTCTTGGGGCCCAGGAAAGGGAAGCTAGCCCTAGAGCAGAGCCTCCTGGAGCAAGCCTGGCCCCAGAGACACGGCAGGCCTGACGGGGGAGCTCCAGGTCCGGATTTGGTCCAGGAGCTGGGCTGCGGCACCCTTTTATTTCCGGAGTCTAGGTCATTGGCCTGGAGCTAGGAGAAGGGTGAGGGGTGCCTCCACCCCTCGCCTCTAACCTGCCTGTGACCTCAAGCAAGGGGCTCCTGTTCTCTGAGCTCCCAGCAGTTCCGTTCATCAGGTGTCCTGCCTGACTGCCTGGCCTCCTGCTCCGTGTTTTTCTGTCCCGTGGCCAGCAGTGGGTCAGGCGCCGAGGAGGGCTGGGATGAGGATGGGGCAGAGGCTCAGGAAGCGGATGGAGGTGGACACCAGGGGGGCAGGAAGCCTTGCATGCACCCCTGGCTGTTTGCATTCCCCCCCCCCCCCCCCGCACTGCCTGGGCAGTGCCTCCATGGCCTGGAGGCTGGACCTTGGGGGCCCCCTGACTTTTGTTTAAATTAAAAACCAAAGTGGTATTAACTTCCCAAATTAGTCCAATGCAAACCACCTGGAATTTTATGAAGCAGAAAGTGAAAATAGCACCTACCCCACTCTCCCCACATCCACTCTCGAGGGGAAACTACTGCCAGTAGTCCTGAGTGGATTCTTCCAGAAACCTTTTATGTGCATTTACAAACATATATGCATAGATAGTTGTATAAAAAAAAGGAATCATGTTATACATGCAGTTCATTTTTTATATTAAAAATAAAGTTTTAAATATAAAAACATTGACCATTATCTTAAAAATTTTGGAAAATACAGTTAAGCCAAAAGAAGACAGCAGACCATAATCTTATCATTTGAGAAATAACCACTATTGACACTTTAATCACTATGATAGGCAAAAGTATCTATTTTCATTTGACTTATCTTTCTTCTTCTTTTCACCTTTTAAAACACTGTGTTAGGGCTTCCCTGGTGGCGCAGTGGTTGGGAGTGCGCCTGCCGAAGCAGGGGACACGGGTTCGTGCCCCGGTCCGGGAGGATCCCACATGCCGCGGAGCGGCTGGGCCCGTGAGTCATGGCCGTTGAGCCTGCGCATCCGCAACGGGAGAGGCCACAACAGTGAGAGGCCCACATAGCGCAAAATAAATAAATAAATAAAAATTAAAAAAAATACTGTGTTACACCCGAATGACGGCATGCATTATACTTGTAAAAATAAAACACATATAATGAACCTCTTGAACTTATGTCCCACTTAAAGACCAGACCTTCGTTATTATAACTTGCACACCCCTGCCTTTCTTCTCTCCCTCATCCCTCCCCACAGAGACTGTTGTACTCTTTGACTTTTGCTTTTAAAACTTTAATCAGTCTGATAGGCAAAATTATATCCTGTCCTATGACAGGCGGCCTGCTGCCTGCTGTATGCTTAAACAGTGTATTGTGTAGTTTCATTTGTCTTCCAGGACTTGGCTTTTTCACTCCTCGTGTCTGTAAGATTCATCCATGTAATTCCCCCCCACCCCCGCTATATAATATTTCACCATGTGAACGTATCATAATGTAATAAAAAAATTCCATTCTCCTTGATAGTTATATGAGTTGTTTCCAGTTTTGTATTATTTCAAGCATTGCTGCTATGCGCTTTGTTACATACATTTGCAAGAATTTCTCCAGGGTATGTACCTAGGAGAAGAATGCAAAATTTTCCAACTTTGTTTTCCAAAGTGATTATGGAGATGCATTTTAAAAACTTGCTTTCTTCACTTATTACCTATCCTGTAAATATCCTGGACATCTCTTCCTGTCGATGCCTATTGATCTGCATCATTCATTTTAGCGGGGCTGTGTCTTTGTTCATTTAACCAGGTGTCCAGGCTACTTAAGTTATTTTTCACTATCGCATAAACTGATGTAATGAATACCACAATTA